TTTTGTGCCTCAGTTCCTCAAATGTGGAAAACAGCTAAACAACAACATATACAATCCATCAAAATTTCGTGCCAAATCTATGGGGTTCCCTTAGTGGAGTCTCATTTCTTCACTGTTACTAGTTCAGAGTATGGCCTTCGGATTCAAGCAAAGCTGAAATCAGGCTTTGGCTGTGCCATGTGCTAGCCAAGTGACCTTGTGCAGAACACTGTAAGCTCTCAAAGCCTCAGTGGTCTTGCCTGTTGCTGGGAGAATGGTATAACATCATTATGTGTAAGGAATGCTTAACCTGGTGCCAGGCACATGATAAGCAAGCAGTAAATGGTGGCATAATGATACCTCTGGTGGGTTCACTTAGACATTTCATTCAAAACAGTCTAATAGTCCGGTGTGTTCGTGGTGATTTAAGTGGCAGGTGTGATCTGAAGTCCTCCTTCAACCATGTAGATTACTTTCTCAACTTCTAAATTATAGGCAGAATTAATTAGGAATAAGGCAAGGAAGCTATATAGACTTATTTATCATGACATTTCTGTCCTGAGCTCTCCCTTGGAAAAGGTTTACTAAATCTATTTTTCTTACTAGATCTAGTATAACCTATTATTCTTACTGAACCGATTATAACCTATTATATTTAATAAATCTATTATTCTTACAAAGATCATTTTGACCATTTGTCAAGGAAAAGCAACATTGCTATTAGACATACCTCGACTGTTTTATTGCCCAAACCTTCTGTTTCTATTTAAGGCTTCATTGTAAGGTATGGAGCAGGTTTGGCTTTGAACTCAGTGAGCAGATGAAACATTACCGCTTTCTCAAAAGAGACTCTTAGCAGGCATTCAAAAATCCCCATCCTGCTTCCTTTTCATTAGATCATTGGTCAGTCCTCTACAGTTTCAAGCCAAATGATTTCAAAGGTTCAAGACACCTCTTAGATCACAATGCCTACAGGCAGAACCATTTGAGAGGGAGAAATACTAACACAGTGGCAAGAGAACTCTTTGCTGAAGTTAGGTATGGCTGCAGGAATGGGAGCTCCTGGAAGGTGGGCAGTAGTCTATAAGAATCAGAATATGATTTATGTGTCCCCCTTCTCCCTGCTAGGGACAGATGACACTGATCTGGACATGCAGTGTGAGCAAAATAACCTTATGTTGTTTTAAGTCACTGAGATTTTAGGGCTCTTGGTTTCTACAGCATCATCTAGCCCATCCTGCCTGATACAGAAAAGGTACAAATGCAGTTGACTGTGTAACAGACACACTCATGGAGCCAGGCCTACTAAATCCTCTCATCTTGGTCAACAATTTTCAGAAGCTAGCAGTTTAGTGGTTTACAGAAATGAAGCTCTGAATTGTGGTCAACAACAGAATAGTTTTTTTTGTTTTGTTTTGTTTTTTTAAAGATTTTTATTTATTTATTTGACAGAGAGAGACACAGCGAGAGAGGGAACACAAGCAGGGGGAGGGGGAGAGGGAGAAGCAGACTCCCTGCTGAGCAGGGAGCCCAGTGCGGGGCTCGATCCCAGGACCCTGAGACCACGACCCGAGCCGAAGGCAGTCACTTAACCGACTGAGCCACCCAGGCGCCCCAACAACAGAATAGTTTTAACAGATTGGTGGAAAGATTCAAAGCAATATTCCTCTATGCCATTGTCAGGGTGAGAATCACGATTCCCAAATCTGTATGTCCAGCTGGAATTCTCCTCAGCTGTCGATAGACTAATCCACTGACACCCTGCAGAGAAACCAGAGCAGCCTGTCTTTCCCTCATTCTCAGGCACTTCCCGGGTATGTTGGAGAGCTGGTGCTGACCTCAAATTGAGAACACTTTGATATATACCATCCACCCAAGTAGCCTTCATGATCAAAGGAGTTTATTATATGTCCCTCAAGTCTGCATGGAGGGAGGGCTCAGGGTTGATGTCAGCCTTGTACATGTCATGAAGAACATTACTATTTTAATAAAAAAAAGACATGCTCTAAATCCTACTAATAATAAATAATAATGATCATTTGTTGAGTGCTTTCTAGGGGGCACCATGATGAGCACTTTATATCTATTATTTTATTTAGTCCACACAACCTGCCTAGGTAGAAACTAAAAGCTCCTGCTCCACAAATGAAAAACAAAAAACAAAAAACAAACCAACCAACCACCCAAAGCTTAGAGCAGTCCCATAACTTGCCTAAGGTCAGCCAGCCTAGAAACAGAAGAAATTATGCCAAGCTCGAAGCTGTTCTCTTAGGGCACAGTTTCCTCCCTCTCCTGGCCATAGTGCTATGTCTCTCAACATCCCCACCCAAGATCTAAAACCCTAGAGTTTTCCTTGTCTTCGTTGTGTTGCTAGTGATCTGATGACATCATTTTTGGTCTCAAACCAACATTGCTCTAGTATATTCCCCAGGAGAACAAGGCCCTCAACACCTGCTTAGTTTCTTCCGGCCTCCACAGAGGAGGGTCTGAGAAACTAACGGAAAAACAAAACAAAGCGATCCACGGGGAAAGAAAAAAAAAGTGGATTGAGAGAAGTTATTTTCTTGATAACTGTGTGTGACTAACTAGCCACGGAGGAAAAGAAAACTGATCTGCGGGCTTGTAAGAGAGCCCGAGGCGGAAATAGACCCTGTGAGCCCAAGAAGTGGGCGGAACCAGAGGCCGCAGCCTGGAAACAAAGGACAGGAAACAGGATTTCTTTTTTCCAAAGTCCAGAACAAAGCTGACGAGGAGTTTGGCAGGAAGAGGGACCACCATTTCATACTTCAAGTGGAAAAAATACCAAGGGCTCCAAACTGAAGATATTTGGGAAGGGATGAGTCATGGAGGAATGGTGATACATAATCTTCGCTTTCTGAGAACAGACAGTTAATATTCCTGCTCAGCATTCTTTTATTATTTGGCTGCAGTCCTCACGCTTTCTATGCGAAGCCAGGAAAGGGCTGGAAGATTCTCACCTTGCTCATTATGGGATACACAACCTGGAAATCTAAGCTCTGTTCCCTCCTCTCCGTTCCCTCTTTCCTACCCTGCTGTCCCTCTTCCTGGATGCCCGTTCCACTGCCTTTTAACTGGAACTTCACCACCAACAAAATTAGAATCCTGTTAATGAGAAAGAAGGTAGATGGATCCTGGATAGGCAACTAGCACACTCTGCCACAGAATGAAGGTCAGAGAGGGACATTTCCCAGCCTCCCTTGCAAGGGGGTGACCATGTGACACAGTCCGAGGGAATGATGTCCCTCTCCCTGGAGCCCGTTCCACTGCTCGTAGCATGGGTAACTCTTCCTTTGCAGGTCTCAGTGGACACGTCACATCCTCAGAGGTGCTTTCTCTGACCTCTGTAATGGTGAACAGCACTCTAGCATCCTTCTGCCACGCATGAAGCATCAAGGACCATACTCTAATGATGGCACATCAGAAAGTTGGAAGGAATCTAAGGCCCTGATGACATTGGTCTCTGAAGAGACAAAGTAGAAAACAAGTAACATCTAGATCAACAAAATAAAATATATT